TTCAAATAATTAATAATGTTAACACACAGAGGCGAATGAACGCAATCCATCTAAAGCCCTCAAAAATTGGTTAACATTGAAAAGGTATTTAAAATGCGAAGTGTTTTTTAGAAAATAACGGGAATTGTAAATTTTAAAATTCGCGAGTTCCATTTTATTATCTTGATATATGTACATACAAATGTACATGCCCGTAAAGTACGAAAACATTTTCAGCTGTATTTATTGCTTACTTTGTCTGTAGCAGCCGCTAAGGTTAGACGTGTTTTAATGAGCTTGGCGATTTGCGTTTGTTAAAAGAAATGGATCAAAGAATTTGTTCGTGAAATCTTGTCCAAAAAAAATACTGTAACGTTGCCTCAGCCTTCATAATCGTCAGACATGGCTCCGTGTGATTTTTCCTATTTCTAAAAATAAAGAGAATCTTAAAGGCCGTCGTTTTGCAAGATGGATGAGATGAAAATTGTTTCAACAATTGGAGGAAGCGCTGGCATAAATTTAAAATATCTATTAGGAGCTATTTTAAAGGCCACAACATTAATGTAGACAAATGAATAAATTTTTTTTTTTCAAAATTTCTACCTTCTCGTTATTTTTTGAATACATCTCATAACCTAACCCCTTTAAAAATATTTCTTCTCTTAGTTTCTTCATAAATTCGCTACAAGAAAATAAATAACTAAGTCAATGTTTTGCAACTGCATTTTAAAATCTTTATTCTCATACATCATTCAATTCTGCTAAGTACAATCTAATTGCTACTGGCTGCAAGCTAGCCAAGCTTTTCTTCCGTTAAATGTCGTATGTTATAATTGATAGGTGCAGGTGTAGTATGTTTGTATGTCTGTGTGTTTGTTTGTATCTTTGTATATGTTTTACTAACTACTTTTGTGACATTCACCATTTTTTGTTTATTAATTTATTTAATTTATTATTGTTTAATAATTTCTGCAACTAACAATACTTAATTGGTAAATTGTGGTTGGTTCTTTTTGTTGAGGAGCAACGTTTTGATTTTCATTTAATTATGAATTTATACACTTTATACTTTTTTCATTAGTAAACAGAATCAACAACAAACGATATTAACGATGTAATTGTTATTGTTATTGTTATTTTTACTTTTCTTCTCAAATTATGCGATAAATACACGTTTAGGGTCACTCGATTCTTAGGCATCGTTGTAAATCATTTAGTTAAATATTAAGTATTGGATATACACAAAGCGTTATACATATACAAATTGTTATATATAATTATCTATGTATGTATATATAGGGTATATGCGCACAATACATAATTAATATACTAGAAAATATTTAGTTAAATTATTTTGTATATCGATATAGTATAAACGAAATTGAAATTTTAAAAATATATATATGTATATGTATGTGTACGTATGTATGCTGGTGAGTGCACACATACAAAACACACATTTGATTATAAATAAATGTACTACTTATATATAGATAATGCATTACAGCTAGCACTATTCGTTTACACAAAAAATCAGTTTTACTGAAATATATTTCTATAGAAAAAATAAAAGTTGCTTTGTGACAATTCTGCGGCAGCTTTTCGACATGACAAAATGGCTCGCAACAACAAAGCGAATAACTGAACTTGTGACCTTTTCTTGCAGTTTAGGTTATCTTTTGCTATTTTTACATTTTGTTTTCCTTTTCCTTTCTTCATTTTCATTTGTGAAGGCATTCCTTAGACACAACATCGCTTATTAATATTATTTTCAAGCCAACAATCAGTCAGCTGATTGCTGGATCTGGCGCTGAATTTGCTCATTTGTGTACAGTAAAGACTAACGGCGCTGATTCATCCTCCGGCAGGTGTTCAGCTAATATAATTTTATTCGCCGAGCGCGCCGAGGGCACTTGACTCTCGATATCCTCATAGTCAACCGACGATGAACGTACCAATTTGAATTGTGAACCCTTATTGTCTTGCTTTGTGATGACCAATGAGGCGGGGCGCGGACCTGTGTATGCAAAAAAAAACACACATTACTAGTATACTTACATGTTTTTAAAAATATTTGTAATAGTATACCTGTTGTTTTGCTCGGCCGTCGTTCCAACGTTGTTGAGCCGCTCGAAGGCAACGTTGATGCAGACGATGAGAGTGATGAGGGCTTCTCCGAGATGTACTCCAAATTGGATGTCATTTGTAGTTTGCTGCTTCCACTCTTCTGCCCGCTACCCTGCTTGATGCTGACACGCTTATCAGTTTTAACACTGTTCTGATGTTTCAGTATTGAATCGCGTCGTTGTGCTACCGGTGATGCTGGTGGCATTGGTGTGCTACTGATTAGCTGCAGTTCGGCATCTACGGAGATAGTTAAGGTAAACATGCAGGCATATATGTAGTTGGTTTATTAGGTTTGAAAGGAGACTTAGATGTAAAGATTTAAGTATTAATAAAGAAAGAGAGAGAGAGTGAGAGAGAGAGAGAGAGTAAATACACAACTTTGATGACACGACTTAGGTTTAAAGTATAAAAAAGTTCTCTTCTAGTTCTAAAGCATATTAATTAATGAAAATTTTTAAAAATTTCTATACATACAAATACACACTGGATCTATTTTACTATTACTATTTAACATTATTTTTTATAATTTCATAATCTGATTTTTTTTCTCGAAGAAATTGGGTTTTACGGAAAAGTTTAATTATAGCTGAAAATAATTTTCTAATTTTTCTTAAGTTAGCGAGTTTAGGGATTTTTCACCAACTGGTTACTAATGGCGTTAGTGATGTTTGGAACTTTTTGGGTACGAGAAGTCTGAATCTATATTCTGAAGTTATCGATAAGCGTCACGCATTTTATTACGAATTTTCACCTAAAAAGGTCGTAAAATCTGGCCTAAATATAAAATACAAATCTTGCTTTCTAGAGCGTACGTTGTTATGTAACGGTTTCTATATGAACTCCCAATATATATAAAAAATTCTTTTTTCTCGATATTTCGTAAAAAGAAGAGGGGTCAAACGTAGTCTTATGACTTTAAAAAATCTAAAATGTCATTAAATTTTTACATAGACCTTTAAGGAAGTGTTGCTAATTTACGGCACAAAAACCACTAGTACAGTAATAGGACGATTTAATTGCCAAGTTTCTATTAAAAAAATTTGTATCTATATTATTTTGAAATTTCGTTTTTCGGCGTTATAATTATCACATAAGGTCATTTATATACATGGCACTTAAAAATTAAAAAAAAAAAACATATGTGAATATGTAGTTGCAAAATTAGAATTTTTTCAAAAATATGAGAATTATATGTACATATGTATATTGAAGATTTCGGTTTCTAAAAACAGTATTTCTGACGTTTGAAGCATATTTATCATATATTGAAAGACCCACATATTTTGTTTTGTATGCATAAATATAGCTGTTTCATATAATAAATAATGCCTTGAATTAAATAAATATTATAAAAGTATTAAAAGCCGGTTCCAAATAATTTTTAGGTTATGTACGAATTTTTGGGAATTGATTTTTACATACATTTTATAATATTTATGCGTATTGACGTACACACATACGCACGTATTCTAAGAATAGTTTTGATTTTAAACATAATACTTAATATTTTTTAACTTGTGGATCAGTAAATCTATGATTTTTTTTATACCCTTGAACAGGGTGCATTAAGTTTGGCACGTAGTTTTTCACCACCAGAAGGAAACGTCGAAGACCAGAAGTATGTAATATGTATATATGTAAATTATTAACATGGGAAGCTGAGTCGATTTAGCGATGTCCGTCTGTCCGTCTGTCCGTCTGTATATACGCGAACTAAGTACTCAGTTTTTGAGATATCAATATGAAATTCGGCACAAGTAATTTTCTCCCCAAAAAGCTGTTCATTTGTTGAAACCGCCGATATCAGACCATTATAGTATATAGCTGTCATACAAACTGAACGATCAAAATCAAGTTCTAGTATGAAGTATGGGAAAGTTTTATATTTAACGAAGTATCTTCACGGAAGTTAGTACGAATTATTATCCAAGGCAACAATATACACTCTGAAGAAATTGTTCAGATCGGACCATTATAACTTATAGCTGTCACACAAATTGCATGATCAAATTCAAGAAAGGCAACTTTTTCATTTGTGAAGGGTATTATAGCTTCGGGGCAACCAAAATTAACGTTTTTTCTTGTTATTTGTATTATTACTGTTAATCATAATTATTATCATTATTTCCATTTATAGTAGGGTATGATTTAAGTATTATCTTAACTAAGTCAAGTTTCATTATTTGAAATATTATCAATTAATACCATTATTTTTAGCTAAAACCCAAAATCACTAAAAATATACAATATTTATATTTAAACACTAGTGCGACTTAAATAAATGTATATATAGGAATATATAATATAAATTGTTTGATTATACATAAATAAATAAATTTAATGGGTTATACTAGTATGTATATACATATGTATAGAAAACTGCATATATTGGTATAATATTACAATACAATAAATCATAAACACATACTTATATACAATTCAATTTGTGACCAAACCGAGAACGAAAAGCGCCGGCGCAGCAAAGCGTATGCAATGGCAAAAAGGAAAAAAGCCCAACACCAATAACCACCAGCACAACCAACACCAAAAAAAAAAAAACAAATGATTGAGGAGTGCGCAAGGCAGCGCAGGCGCAGCTAGCCAAAACCAAAGTATGTAATAATATGTACATATGTATGCAATAAGTTAATTTAAATGATTTTGTGATTGCAACAGCCAAAATAATTGCAGCGTATCGCCCAAAAAATGAAACTAACACAGCACACTGTAAAATTTATTTCAAATTTTTATTATATTTTTTTTTTGTTTTTGTTTTTGTTTTCTAATACTAAAATTAATGTTTTCTTTAACGCACGTTAGTATATTTTGCATAGTTTATATATTTGCTATAACACATTTGAATCATAATTTTTATTTCTATTTATTTTTTACTATTTTTTTCAATACTCTACAGTTAGTTTTAGCATGTTTTTATTATATTTATGTAACGCTACCACAGTTAGTAAGTCTATACATGATATTATACTATTTGTGTGTAACTACCTATGTATGTTTGTTTGTATGTACTCTAGGCATCGGTTAGGTTCACAAACATTTATTCATTGTATGCATACTTTTTTCATATGCTGTATATGTATTTTTTTATAGTTTATGAAAGGGTTATTTTTGCTTAAACAATTAAACATGCATTCATGATAGTTTTTAATTTAAGTCTTTGCATTAAATTAGTTTAAAATATGTAGCTTCAAAGCTCGCTGCACTAGAGTTATAGCTTGTGATATTCTGTTTTTTTTTAAAGTTATTTATGTTTGCATCAGCACTTTATTATTAGTAACAAATATTTTTGTATGCAAAATAATGTATGTAGTTAATTAATTCAACATTCGTAGGTATGTGTATGTGTGTGTAATGTTCGTGTGCATAAAAATATATGTGAAAAATATAATCTGGTAAAATTGCAAGTCAAATAAAATACTGTTGAGTTATAATAAAAAAGTAATGAAAATAGTAAGAAATGCGATATAAACTCAGTAAAAACTTCAATAATTAGTTAAAAAATATTTCCATTTGCTTATTGTTAAACTAAAATTTCCAGTCATCATGCAAGTTATGTGATTCAACTTTTATTAACATACATACATAACTTGAGTCTGCCAATAAATGTAATGGAATGTGATTTTAAAATCATCAATTAACTTTAATGTATGAAAACAATCGTTGAACAAAATTTTCACGGTTAGCATACATTTTTGGTACTTTTTATGACATATATATATATATATATATACTTTCAGACACATTTTTAGTTTGTTAATAGATTATTCTTAGACCGATAAAATCATATTTTCCCTATCTAACATACTAAAGATTAGTTCGTTTGAATTTTTGCTGCGAGATTGTAGTTATTTTCGCTTTTATATTAGTAGACGATTTTGTAACTGCCATTCGGTGGGTCGAGACTTAATATCATGGCCGCATTGCAATTTAAACAAATCTTTTCTAATAAAGGTTGCCTCTTGAGAGAACTTCCAGTGAAATTCTTATATGGAAAAGCTTCGCTTAAAAATCCATCAACATTATAGGTAAGAGGTCAGTGAAAATCAACGCAGATATATACTGTACTTGTACTTTTACAGTTGTGTTGTGTTGTGTAGGTGACAAATTCTCATAATTATTTTTATTTTATGCTTTAAAGCGAATTTTTTCAACACCAAATTTTTCTCGTTTCTAATAATTTGTATTTCATTTTATTAAATTTGCAACGCCAATTTGCAGCCTAATTTCAAATAACTCTCACACGCAATGCTCACAGCTAACCTAAAGGCCTTTACAACTTTTGAAGTGAAGCTTAGCTTGAGATATGTTTGTAGTTTTGTTGTTTCTTTAACGTTTAATTATTAATGTAGCCATTTCTTTTTAATAAAAATTTAGTTTTAGTTCAAATAAGCAGATTCATATGCATGCAAGCATGTACAAAAGTATATATGTAAGTGAGTAAAAAAATATAAATAGTTGTTGTTAAGATTCTATTTGAAGAGCAGAGTCGTTTGGTTTGTTCTTTTCCGTCTGTGATTTGTAGTTTTACAACTGTTCTATTGTAAATTAATTACCATTGTGGTTGATCTGGTTTTCTAAAATGTAACCTTAATATGTAGAGTTGAGTTTTCGTTTGCTTCATAGCATATGATTAATGTATATGTATGTAGCTAAATTGTGCATATGTGGTAGACGTCTAATTATTTTTAACTATGCCAAAATAAACGGGGTTTCTTTCTATAAATACATAAATTCAATTAATCGAAGAGCCAAACCTTTAAATTTAAAGAGTTTTTGAAAAATATATTAAGCTTGTTTAGAAGCTCTATTCTCTATTCACAAAATAAAAATTCAAAAATACTGTAGGTATTAATAAAATAACAAAAAATATTTTTTTTTGATATCAAAATCTCTCAAAAATTGTTTTTAAATTAGATAGACAGATATTAGATATTTAAATAGACAAAAAATTTAAAGTTTTTAACAATTCATTATAATCTATTTCTTTTTCGATTGTGTTTTGAGAATAAGGCTCTTATAGCATTTTTATTATATTATATATAATAAATTAACTTTTTTAAGAACTTGTATGCTATAATTAATATTGATAAATTCAATAAGCACAATTTCGAAGGCAAATACTTCAATTTGGGAGGCTAACTTTGAAAAACGGAGAAAATACTTCCTAAATTCTCGAAAAAAATTGGTTTGGTTCAATAGCGTTTTTTCTGTATTTAGTATAAGGTCCTAAAATCGCTTTTAAAATAAATTTTCTTGAAAAGTGGTATTTTAAAAATTATAATATTTTAAGTTTTGAAGGAGACCGTACAAAGTATATATGATATTTAATTGATCAGGATGACGAGCTCAGTCGATTTAGCCATGTTCTTCTGTATAAATGCGCACATGTCTCTCAGTTTTTGATATATCGATCAGAAATTTTGCACATGTCCTTTTATTACTTACATTTGTTGAATTGAAGAATATGTACAGATCGGACAACTATAGCATATAGCTGTCTTACAAACTGAACGATCGGAATCAAGTGCTTGCATGGAAAACTTTATTACTTGACAAATTATCTTGTCATAAATTGTTATTCACTGCAACGCTACAATCTCTGAAGAAATTGTTCAGATTGGAACACTGTAGCATAGAGCTGCCATATAAACTGACCGATCAAAATCAAGATAAAGATCTTTTTATACATCTTTACGCTATAAAAAGCACCTGTGAAGAGTGTTATAGCTTCGGTGCAGCCGAAGCTAACGTTTTTTCTTATTGAAACAATAATCGTCAAGCATTTGCAGTTTTAAAAAATATTCATATCGATTTTAACTTACATATACTTGTCTTTTTTTAATTAAAATTTATTTGTTGCAATTTTAATGAGCATTTTTTAAATATTACGAACTCGTCAAATGCATTAAAAATGTTGTCAAAAATCGAAACTAAAGCAGCTACTACACAAAGACGGGGTTTAATACTGCGCTACATTGAGCTTCAAATAACAGTTTTTATATAACGCGACAAGACTGGATAAAATATAAAACTTCTTGGGCTTTGAGTGCATTCCATGGCGCTGTAACCTTACAAATATACACAAAGATTTAAATACTTCAAGTGCCTTTGAGTGTACGTGTGTATGTGTGTGTGTACGGTTCTGTGCCAACAACATGTGTGCTATTAGTGGTGCAGTACTGGGAGGGTTTGTGACCGATATTCACAATACAATATATATATATATATATATGTATAGTTTTATGTATGTACTAGTTTAGATAATTGCATTTGTTACTGGCACCGTAATATTGCGTATTTTCTAAAAGAATGTTCGAAATTTCGAAAATATAAATATTTTGAAATCTATCCCTTTGCTTTACTATAGAGGCGTATCGCTGATATCGTGATCACCATTTGTATTTGGTATGACAACAACTGTTGGTACTGTATTGCGTTGTTGTTGTTGTTGCTGATGTTGTTGTTGTATAGGCAAACGCAGTTGTTGCTGTTGTGGCATTAGGGATTCATAGAGCAAATCATCACCTACAGAGTGATGGCGCTGATTGCGATGATGACCATGCCCACCAGCTGTCAACTGGTGTTGTTGTTGTTGATTAGCCAACAATTGTACGGCAGCTTGGGTGCTGGCATCACCAACAATACTATGACGCAACTTATACATGTCGCCAGCACCAATGCCACCACCAACATGACCAGTATTAAAAACGCCAGTGCCTCCATTACCCATATGAATAGTGTTATTACCACCGACACCACCACCACCACCACCACCACCAATACCAATACTTTGCAGCGAATGCGTGCTGTCGCTGTGATTATATTGTTGTGTATGAAAATTGCCGTAGTTGTTATTGTTGGCATACTGTAGGAAGTGATTAAATTTGAGGTCATCGGACGGTGAACCGAATTCCGATGACTCGCGTATGGGCGCTAATTGCAGTTGTGCAGCTGCAGCTAACATCTCACCTGTAGGCAAACCCGATGGGCTGGGTCGCTCACTGCTCGCCACATCCTCGAAGGCTTCCTCGTTGAGGGTTTGCAATGCGCCGCAAATCATTTGCTCCTCCAGCGTGACCTGTAAGTGAGGGGGAAGAGCGGTTTCATATGGTTAATAAGGTGTGCGAAAAGTAGGATTTCGAACATTTAATGCCGTATCTAATTATCTACACGGAAAATACGAATTTCGTTACAAAACTTAATAAACAAAACAAAAAAAAAAAAATCTGAAAAGAATTAATTTTTTATTTACATAAGCGTAAGCAACTGATGAGCGTAAAACAACAGTGAAAAATACACGAAAATCAAGTATACATTTAGTACGGCAAAAGATTTTGAATCACAAAATTTCATAAACTCGGAAAATGGATAGGAGAATTTATTATTGTACATACTCTTATATGAGTTTTACTTGATAGGAAAACAAATTTAATTTGAATATAACTTTTTTAGTCCGATCAAATTAGACAGAACATAAGAGTGAGTTTACATAAATTCACACCAAGCTGAAAGATAGTGAGTATGTTCTTAATATCAGAAACGATAGGTCTTAGGAAAAAAGTTTTGGGACAATTTTTTTTATATATAACTTTATGATCAACAATTTTCGCCTAAATTGATTTTTAACTTGCATTCTTGAAAATCGCGTATAATTTTTTTTTTTCACCTTTGACCTTGATTCCACATATCGGAACGATATTTTAATCATGTTTTCAACATATTCACTAACTTTCAGCTTGTTGTAAGTTTATTTTGACCGGTGTTTTGTTTTTTCAATATCCAGTTTCTAATGTCTTAACATTTTTTTCCAGTTATTATAACACCATAAAATAATTCATTTAAAAAATATATACGAAGAAATTTGTAATTTTTTTCTAAATTAAAAACAACGACTTCTTAAACTAAACATAGAGTGATGCGTAAGGCTCTATACACTTAAACCTTGGTTGCTTTCCATTCAATCAGCTAAAATCCTACCTATAAAGAATACACCCTGACATACTAAACATATGTCCTGCATGGAAAGGGTCCCCGCATGATTCTAAAAACACCTCACAAATCAATTCACCTTTCACTCCTTTCCCTATGGACCGACTCCAACGAACAAATCGTTTCTTGGATCTTAGATTTTTGATGACAGTTAATTTTGCTCTTTCCCCCAAGTAAGGTCTAGGTATTCCGTTACATCCAAAACAACATACTCTCGAAATCTAAAGTTAATTTTTACAACTATGAATATTTCCTTGCAAATTTAACCGTAAAACGTTTTCTTTGTAAAATTCTGAAAAACTATTCGTTTTTTATTTTGTTAGGGTTAACTGAACAGAATATTTCTCCTACTATAAAAGAACTCACAAACTGATTTACTCTAATCTCAATCGGTACCTTCTGTAATTTCAAAGCTCCTATAGAAATCAAAGCTACATATATGCTATGGTGGTCCGATATAAACTGAGGGACTAGTTATACAAACAGACGGACATGGCTAAATCAACTCAGCGCGTCATGGTGATCATTTATATATTTTATAGGGTCTCCGACATTTCCTTCTGGGAACTATAACTTCGTGGCAAACTTAATATACCCCATTCAGGGTATAATAAGAATGAGAGGATGTAATCAACTTGTATGATGTATATATCGAAAATGTCTCTTTTGCCAATGTCGTTTCCCCTCCTTTTGTTTTAAATATTTTAGATTGATCGAGCCATATCCCCTATTTATGGTATCTGTGTGTTGATCTCAACCAACAAGAGATTAACAAGCTTTTGACCGTCTCCTTGCTCTTTATAATGATATTTTTAGGTTCAGGATGCATTGTATATCTTCATTCATGTTTTAATAACCTTTTTCAGATAGGCACTTATAAATTTAGGCAGTTTCACAAAAGGTTTGGTCATCTGCTGATTGCTTGTTGTCATTTTTGAGAGTTTAGAGTGTCAAATTATTAATTTTTTGAAAGTTTATCAGCCATTAGTACTAAAAATCTACGCGTAATTTTTGTTTTCTAATACTTCCCCCATGAGTTCTCATACCACAAAAATATAATTTTTAAAAACTTCCATTTATACTCTTTGAATGTATTACTTCTAAATATATACAAAATCCGCGCAATTTCTACTTAACTTAAATCAACCTATAAACCATGTCACTATTTCAAAACTGTTTCACCATATATCGCTACTTCGGATAGCCTTGAGCATTCTCTCCTATCAATCGTATTATCGTGTATATCCCAATTTATCCGACATGGCATTTTATTCGAATGTTGACTAAATTAATATTCCGTTTCAAAATTATGACAAAAAAACATTAACGAATTCTATTATAACTTCAAAATCATTTTAACAACGACAAAAATACTGACATTTATGAATAATAATATCGTGCGATTTGGAAATTTTAAAAAACACATTAGAGATCGTAAATTTCTTTAGCGTACAAGAATTGAGCAAATCAACTTATTTAAATATACATATATAGCATTATAAATGGGCAACACCGTAAAAATATGTATGAACTTTAAATTTTAATGACTTTTACCTGTAGATACTCATAATCGTGTACTTTTGGCTGCATTTTCGGAATGATGCGCAAACAAAACGAGAATATACGTTATGTATGAAAACGAATTGCTTTGTACATATGTATGTCTGTATGTATGTGTGTGCAAACATGAAATGTGTTGCTTGCGACATTGAATTACTATGGCCAACATTTCCAACTACATTACATTCAAAAGTTTGGTTTTGAAGTTTTCGAAAATGTTTTAACAGTATTTTTCGAAAATTTTTCAAAAATATGTCTTAACACGTTTTCAAAAACAATGTTTTTCAAAATGGTTTCAAAAACAATGTTTTTAAAATGGTTTCAAAAACAATGTTTTTCAAAATGTTTTCAAAAACAGTATTTTTCAAATTTGTAGTAGGTAGTACATGGAAATATTGATACTACCGAATTTACTTGGATAAACTAATAACGGAGGTCTGAACTCCGGTTGCTGTTGCTTGACAAACCTGCTTTTCCATATGACTGGTGGTTGAGTTTTTACGTGAATGCGGTTGACTCGGCGCCAGCGTATGTGTGTCTGTGCTGTCTTTTGGTGCCGTCGTGTTTGGGGCTGGCACATCAGCTATCGCCGGTGTTGGTTTGAATTTACGTTGCAATTTTTCACAGTCTCGCAGTGTGTTTATAAGTAGTCTAAATAATTCCCAGTGGCCAAAATTGAGACCGAGCACCTGTTTAAGGAAGATTCAAAAGGGTGTAATTAACCAATTAACAATTTAATAATAATTAGAGTGAATGCTTACCCCTTTCAGATCGGTGATATCGCAGTATTTCAGTACGCGCCCATTTATGGCATTCTCTTTGAGAATAGGTGACAACTTCGGTAAGGCGGGACGCAAGTCATCGACGCGTTCCAGCAAGCTGACGACACCTTCAACCGTTAGGTCGGATAGTTTTGTCTGCAGCACGTCATCCTGAAATTATATATATATATATAATAAAAAATATGTTTCACATTTCAGCACCTTTACATAAATTTAAACACTTACACCAAACGAATCACTTGGCGAGCCGATTAGCGGCGTCATTGCCGGTTCTGAATTTATACTGGCATTTCGATGTCTCAACTCATAGTCGTTGTGGAATAATTGATATGGGGGATAAGCAGCAGGCGAAGGCACATACGTCGGTATTGGTGGGGGTATGCGTACGGCAGGATTAATGCTCGGCTTATTCTGCAGCATTAGCGTGCCTTCATCTTCGATCGATTGTTGGTCCTCTGCAACATTAATAAATAAATATATATTATTTTTTTATTTTTATAAATTTATTTTTGCAAACCTTTCAAAACTTTTCTCAAATATGGATCGAGATTGATTGTGAAAGGCAGAAATATGCGCAAATCCGCCACTAACAAATCCGATTTATGCAACTGCAAGAATGCATCCAATTTGCGCTCATCGCGATCGAGCTCGAGCAATGGTGCTGCCTCGCGTAGACAAGCGATTTTTGGGCGTACTCTGTAATAAATAAATATTGAATTATTTAATTGATTGGGTTACATAAAAAATTAAAGCATGCTACTTCGAGATGGAAATCGAACTTATTTAAAACAATAAAATGTATATATGTAGATTACTAGCAATTGTAACTCGTATCTTTACTATGATGCTATTTTCTTTCTTTATAGTGCTTTGAAATTCAAGTATTTTTTAATCAAAAATCGTATTGATTTTAGTAAAAAATCATATAAAACAAGAAGAAACGTTAACTTCGGTTGCACCGAAGCTATAGCCAAAAGTTTTCCATACAAATACTTGATTTTGATCGATTAAATGATAGATATATGCTATAGTGAGCGAATCTAACAAATTTGTTCGGAGATTGTGGGCCAAATTTCATGAAGATATCTTATCAAATAAAAATATTTTCCTAACAAGGACTTAGTTTTTATCGCAGCTATGTATATGCTTTAGTGGTCCGATATCCGGTGCCGACAAATGAGGACATGTGCGAAATTTCAAATGGATATCTTAAAAACTGAGGGATACTTCACGCTGATAATTTATTTGTATCCCTTTTTTTAATAGGGCGTTTCTTTCTGTGTGTAACAAAATTCGGGGCAAACTTAATATACCCTGTTTAGGGTATAGATATAGAGTATACCATATATAGCTTTCAGCGACCTATACTGAAAATTTTCGTAGAATATTTTTTTTTGCACATTTTGACCCTTTGACGTAATCCAGGACCGAGCATTTTTTCTTATTTCCAGAAAAACTCCCTATCAATATTAATATAATATAAAAATTTTCGCGGAATGTTTTTTTGCGTATCATTTTAATCCTCTAATGTCCACCCACCTTCTTCTAGAAAAATTCATTACCAGGCTAAGAAATTTTTTGTCATTATTTTTTCAATCGCAATATTTAACCCTTACTTGCTTTCGACAATTCTATATCAGCATTTTTTTAGGAATATTTTGGTTAGCGATTTAAATTATTGATATTACTCTTAAAATGACATCAAAAAAACAATTTCTAAAACGAGTACCAGCCGCGTGGCCATTGAAGGCTTAAAATGTTATAGGCAAATTTTTTTCCGAAAAATTTGTTAGATGTTCATTTGAAAGAGGTTCATAAATTCTGTTTAAAAAAAAACATTTAACTCTTATAAGAAAGCTTTTAAAACTCCGTAAGCAATTTTAAAACGATAAAGAAAAATGGTGTTCGAAACAAATATATTTAGTTTGTGCCATAGTGTAATACGCACTTTTCATAGACTGCTTGCAACGACACATTATCGTCATATGAATCCATGAAGTTGTCGTGTTGCAGCACAATCATGCTGGCGCGCAGTGGCCACTGCTCCGTTAAATTGATCCAAGAACTTAAACGATACCAACTAAAGTCTATTTGGAATGCTTTCAGTAGACGCACTAAAAATGAAATCAAAATAAATATTTGTAAATTGTAAAAAATCGTGCATGAATTTCTCTACACTAACCTGTTATGTAGATGACATTCATGAGACGACGCATGCTGCGCGGATTCACATCACTAAAATAGTCATCGGTTAACATGATGCGCGACAGATCGAGCACGCCCTGCGGATTCTGACCCAAGCGATGCAAATTCGATCCAATCGAACTGGCCACCGATTCGGAGAGACGCATCTTCTTTCCGCTGCGCCCGGGATTATGCGAGGTGCGCAATTTCTCTTGACTGGACATTATTTCCGATGCATTGGACAAGCGACGCGCCGACACCGAATGTCCCAGTGTGGGACCATCTTCATTGGGGAATTCACTGTAGTTGCGTTTGAAGAGCATAGCGGTCATTTGAGCGCGTTGCACCTTACGCAAACCAGAATTCTGCAAATACACCGGCAAGTGCACTAGATTGCGCAAGAAATCGTGGCCGCCAATGCCACCTTCGGTGAAGAGACGTCTGCTATTAGCCTCTGCTGCTTTGGCAATTACATGCGGATCGACAGCGATAAGCAAAACAAATGGACGATTCGGCGAGGAGAGCAACGTTTGTATGGCGTTGAGCACGCAAAGTATGCGCTCCGTATCACAGGAATCCAAAGCGTCTACAACGCCCACAAGGCGGCTTTGCTGATTCGTAAAAGCATCCAGGCACTGTGAGGGGACAAGAACATTTATTGGAGATTTTTTGCTGCGAAATCACACCTTCTTACCTTCACCATATCGGTCATGAGAGCCACCTCGGCGCCCATTGCAGTCAGTGGCGCACCCTCATTAAGACGCACCGAACGACGCAAATGGCGTCCTTGTGAAATGAAGAGCGAACCGAATGCCTTCGCCAGTCCATGTAAATTCGTGCAAATAATAGTCACTAATATCGCGCAAATTACATAAAGCGAAACGAGTATCCTTTCTTTTTCCTCAGCCGAAGCGTACGTGAAATACGCCACCACGAGTGAGATACCCGTAATAAGTGTTAATAGACATAACTCGAAAACAATCACAATTGGCATGCAACACATGCGACGCCAGCGCCAACCGGATGTCACTTTCAACGCTTTAGGACGAAAAGCGCGATACAAGCGTGTAGACAGCCAGCCATAGTGCGATTCGATGGCCTCATAGAGCGCAGCCAACATATGCGTAACCGCGCTCTCGCCCGTAGGCGACGCGCTGCTCGCCTCAGCAAAGTGAAAACGCACCGGTTTCGCTTGTGTGTCCGCTTGCGCACCAGGCGGATGACAGAATGCCACCTGTAATATTAGACGCAGACGACCAAAGCGCTTCATAATACCATGTTGCACCGAATATGCCCAGTAGACATCCATATGGTTATTAGCATAATTAATACTGGCAAGCAGGAGGTATGTGAACACTAAATAAAGCACTGCTGCTATACTGCCCCACATGGCAGACCACGAAGATAGGCCGACTACGGTGCCTAGCACTAACGCGATATGCAGATTAACCAGGAACATCAAGCCGCTCGTATTGATGGGCAGTTCCGCCCACTGGCGAGCGAAATTATTCATCTCATCTCGTAGTTTGTTAAGCAGAAAACTTTTACCGCTACCCCATTTGGCGTACAAACCGACCGTAATGGGTGTGGTTAGCGTAGGCTCACTCAATACATCAGCCAAAGCGGACGAGTACAATTCATAGCCGAGCATGCCTTCCGAGTCTTCATTCGTATTGAGACGACGCGCGCCGAATACTTGTCCCAATATAGTTTTTTGATGTATGGTATCAATATTGTATGGCGTCTCACCAGCCTTATTCGCTCTGTACAAGAGTTGACTGTTCTTGGGGTTGCGCAGCAATGCCTCAACAATTGCTTTGGAACGCGCGCGCATGGCAATGTGCAAGCAAGTGTCGCCACGTTTATCGCTCGCCGTCACCTTTGCCTTGCGATCCAACAACATTTGCACCATTTCCAGATTACGGTTGCGCACGGCGCGTAGCAGCGCGGTATCACCGTCTTTAGTCGCCGCCTCGAGATCGGGATTGGTGGACAAGAGTATCTTAACTATATGCGTATGGCCCTTCTCAACTGCCGTGTATATAGCAGTTTTCCGATCCTTGCCTTGTATATCAACATCAGCATGCTTTTTAAGTAGCGCTTCAACAACGCCGCGATGACCACCTTTGACGGCATGTATGAGGGGTGTGTCGCCGGCGCGATCTTGAATATTGATGTAAGCGCCAGCGGCGATCAGAGCCGCGCATATTTCCTACAGGAGAGATAAAAAATCATTTAATTATTAATAAATAAATTAAGGACGCGCTGTACTCACTTGGAAGCCCTCACGACTCGCAATCGCCAACGCGGTCATGCCATCCTTATCCAGCGCATTAACATTGGGTTTCTTCTCCAGCAGCGAAGTAACACAGTCTGTATGCCCGCCTGAGGTGGCCACCAGCAGCGGCGTCCACGAATACATGCCAGCTGTGTCGACATTAGCACCGGCCTTTAGTAGCGTATCGACAATCTCAGCATTGCCTTTGCGGCACGCCCACACCAGCGCTGTTGTGCCATACTTATCGCCGACATTCACCTTAGCACCGCGTTGCACCAACAATTCAACAATATCTCTGAAGCCACGACCTGCTGCCCACAGCAGCGGACCCAAATGATAATTGCCATGTACATTCACATCTGCGCCTTTCTCGAGCAGGAAACGCACCAGATCGGTGTGACCACGATAAGCGGCCCACATTAATGCCGTCCAACCGCCCTGGTAGGGAGAGAGCGATATAGTGTTAAAGAGAGACATTCAGCGAGGCATGATACGAAGAAATATTTACCATATCACGATGCTCAATATCGGCGCCGTGATCGATGAGCAGTTGTACGATATCGAAGTGACCATTCTTGGCCGCGCATATAAGTGCCGTCCAATTGTCATTGTCCTCCGCTTGGACATCTGCGCCGCGTGCCAAGAATTCGCGCACAAAAACAGTTAAGCCACGTCCAGCAACAACCATAAGTCCAGTGGTGCCATTCTGTTTCCAAAAAAATATGACAAATGTGGACAAATTTATATATAAAACGCAACTTTCATAGAAAAACTGTGCTCTGGAATATATACTTCCAAGGAACGCTCGTGTGGTAAAATTTAATATAAAATTGCCTATTAACTCACCTCATCACGATCATCGACGGATAAATGCCTACTATCTAAGATAGCGCGCAAACCGGACAGGTCATTATTTTCCACATATTGTAGGAGCGCTCGATGTGCTAGTGAACCCATAGAATCTCCGTAGCGATTGAGATGCTAAATATCGAAAAAAAATTTAAAAAAATTATTAGAAAAATATTGAAGCGCTTGACTAACAATATTAATAGATTTTGTTATTTAAGGAAAGTTTCATGCCAAAATATTATTGCAATAATTTACACTCAGAAATAAGCACATATATCGCAAGGCAAAGATTCATCATCTCAAAGTGTTGTGTAGATGCTGAATATATACAAAAAAAAGTTCTGCATGAGACGCACACACTGAATTTTTATGCACCACAAAAATGTCATATAATATTCCCAAAAAAAAAGAGCTTTCACATTCACTTCTGGAGCTGACGCTTAAGGTTATTCAAAAACCAATAAAACTTAAACATTCGCTTGCGGACTATAGATCACAGCAGCAGCACTTAATCCAGATTAGTGCTGATTAAGCTTTCACAAATGATAATAGGAGCTTTTACATGTAAGAAGCTTTTAAATTAACTTTGACCACCCATACTTTTATTATTTTTTATTTATTATCGTGTTAAGTAAAAGCTTGCACTAGCTTTAGCCAATTAGTACCAATTTTTCATTTTCGCCCTTATTAGGTACAAAAATATATTACACACACAAGGAGAGATTTCACATTCACATCAGAGTTTGGTTTAGATAATTTAGGAATCAGTTAAGATTTCATAACACAAAAGTATGTACATATATATGTCGAATAACTTTTAAGTATTAGTGGAGTAATATAAAAATCCAAGAAATCACTTAAAATACTGTAAAATTTTGTTTATAAAAAATAATGTAAAAGACAAAGTATTTAACTAACTTCATAATGGCAAGCAATTAGTTACACAACAGTTATAGTAAACATTTTATGTAGAGACAATTTCCAAAGCAAGCTTTTAACTTATGTTAATTGTATTCAAAAGCTTCAGAGCTATGAGCTTAAATTAGTTCAAATTGGGTGATTGAAAACATCCATATTTATTAGCTAGAGCTTTCATACTAAAATGTCATTTTTAGTACTCTTTGCACAAATTTTGAATGTGAGCTTTCACTTTTTAATCAGCGCTGTTAAAAAGCTCTCAAACTTTCATACATTTTTTTTTTGCTATCTCATACAAATAATTTGCGTAAATAAACTAAACAGATGAAGTATAAAAGCTTTATACATAGAAAAGGGGATATTTAAATAGTATGATCCACAATTATCTGAAATTTGCCATTCGTTCCTATATCCCTTCCTTGAAGTTTTCGCTGCTTTTTCAAATAAAAAATGCGTTAGTTGAAACGTTGATACACTAAGTTTAAGCTGCTTGCATATATACTATTTGCTTAGCAAATAAGAATACGATAAAATAAAAGAACGGGGCATACATAATATGCCAAGATAAGACTTATCCGCTATTTGGTAAATATGAACTCGAATATTTCCGAAGCATTAGACGACTAGCCAGTGTGTCTCTAAGCATCAAAAATTTGTCCGCCATATTAAAGTTTTCTATAATTTACATATTAGTCTAAATGATGAAGAATTTTCTAACAATTTAGATTAATATGAAATTATTAAAACATGCGTATAATTGAAGGTATCAGTTATAAAGCAAGCACGCTTTTTCGTGCCTGAATTGGAGAATGTTGGTGTAGACGAACTTTGATTACAACAATACGCCGCTACATGCCGTACAGCCAACGAAACAATCTATTTATTGTGATGGCATTATTTCGCGTCATGGATCTGTGGCCGAATATTGGGCCTCTCGGCTGGAATTTATTCGCGCCAGCCGCAGCAGTTACTTGCCCGAAATCATTTTGAAAACATAGTGGCAAATACCTATCTTTATAATAAAGCTAAATTCTTGCCCATAACATTAAAATATATACGTTTTTTTCTTCGTGAAAACCACATGTCTAAAAAAACATCATTCATAAAGAATCGGTGGCAGAGAAACCTACATTAAATCTATGCTTAATTAAAATATGCATGCTTCTAACGAGTTTCAGAGTATCTCTAAAAAATCAGGCATTAGATTGATTTTAAAAATATATGTACTTGAGCAGAGAGATTAGGCTTAATAAGTCCAGCTCACTACTGATTATTTCAGTTTAAGGTTTTATAAAATATATTCTCTTCTTCTAGTTCTTGTACTCGTCGAACCATAGAGATATTCAGGTCCTTGAGGAGGCAAATTACTTTCTGGCGACTAAATTTTTTTTTCGTAGAGTGATTTACAAATGTTTTGTATATATTATATATACATACAATCGATTATTGTGATATTAAAAATACTATTATACACTCGTAAATTATTTAAACGATTTTAGGTTAGAGTATGTTCACAGAAAAAAAGTAAAAAAAAAATTCAAATATGCAAGCGTAGTATCTGAAATCAAAATATTGAACCACTTAAATATAATGATAATAATGAATTGTTAAATCAAGATTTTACAACTTTCGTCATTGATTTTAGTAGTTCAATTAATTGATTCGCACTTACTAATATTGACTTATTTATTTTGGCACTTCAACTATTTCGAGTGATAAGTGCAAAATCACAAGTGCTATGAAAACTCTTTAAAAGTAATGATAAAAAGCACTTGCCTGTAGAAGTGCCAAGTGTGGAAATGAAAATGCTTGAGTGAAGCAAAGTAAATACAAATGCAATAACAACAATAACAAAAAACAACAAATTCAAGTTGAAGATAAGGAATAACGTAAATATTTACCTTGATATTAAATGGTCTTAATGGACTACTTACTATGTCTAAGTAGTAGCTTATTAAATGTAATATCTTACATTGGATAAGTAATATATTGTATGTGTACCGAGCGACGTACGAGGGTTTGAGTTGCAATCAAATGTGATAAAATGTTAGAACTGATGACATTGACATTGATCGATTGGTACGTGGCACTTTAAGAGCGCAAGTGAAGATGTATGCAGATATGTATGTGCTTATGTCAAAATGAGGCACCATAGGAATACATATGTACATCTATATACAATACCTAGAAGTTTTATTAGGCCAACATTGGCAGGTGTTAATGTTCACGACAGTGTCGTCTTATATTTGACTAATTTATTATGATGACACAATTTTATTAAATGTGTCAAAAGTGCATTGAGCCAAACATACATATATTATATAATATATATTAAAATATCAGAGAAAGTTAAGGATAAATATGCCGATTAATGCCGCAACTTTTGGATAGGAAGAACAAATAAACACGTGTATCTTACTCAAAAAGTGATTTTTTTTTTTAATAGCGCGCATCAATTTTAAATGCAACTCTGCTACTTTTTCAAATTACATTACTAATTTATTTTTTTTAATTTTTATTTAGGCTTTTTTATATAAAACAAGAAAGAACCGAAGCTGTATTAAACTTCACAGGTGCATTTCTTGTAGCATAAAATAGTATAAAAAGGTCTTTATCGTAGTTTTGATCGATCTGTTTGCATGGCAGCTACGTGTGACTTTTTCCTATTTCAAGAAATATAGACACCCTTAAAGGTTCGTCGATGAAAATCACTGAAAGCGCTATAGGCGATCCCAAAAATAAATATAAAAAAACGAAAATTCCCGTTATTTTATAAACACACCTCGTATGCTATAGTGATCCGATTTATTCGGAGATTGTAGCGTTGTCTTTGACAACAACCCACAAAGATATCTCTTGTCAAATAAGTTTTCCACACAAGAACTTAATTTGAATCGATTAGTTTGTATACTTTATCGAGTCTCCGACGTTTCCTCCTGGGTGTTATAAACTTCATAAATAATTCTTCTATTATATACATGGGTGATAATATTTTAGTAATGGGTGATTAAACCTCTTCTATAAAGGTGCTGTATTTATTTGAGAGGTGTATCTTGAATTTATCCCACGATGATGGCGGTTGCTTCAAGTTTTAAAAACACCGCCGAAAGGCTGAAAGCAATTATGGCAAGTTTCTGATTTGCAGAAATTAATAGGTCAAAAGTTTCATATTGTTTCAGAGGGCCAAACGCTATTAGAAATTAATGAAAGAACTATGATTAAACACAGATCCTGTGGTGAAATAGAGAACATCTTAAATAAAAATATAAAAAATATGTAGCCTGATATGAATCTTGATCACTATAGATAACGCATACTCGACTCTCTTGGTAGTAAGTATTTTCTTTCAGATATTGTGTTATAGTTTATGGTTGACTTCCTTTAAGACACCTCAGTTGGTAGCTCACTGAAAACCTTGTGTTAAGTAGCTAAAGCTTTATGATCAAGTTATAAAATTTAGTACTCATACTACAATCTAAACAAACAATAGTAAATTGTAGTTTCTTCCAGTTTTTTTAGATGCTTTAAAGCTTTAACTAAGCAACAATATATATGTATATAAACACACTTTGTAAGCATTTTCTATTTACTATCCATTAAGCAAATAACACGTGACAGCGCTTAAATCACAAAACATTTAATACATAAATTGCAAGGCAGTATTCTAAAATACACACTCTCCCTAAGCGTCCAATCAACTTAATGAAATTCACTGCAATTTGAAAGTATTTTTGCTCACGCAATCCCCCTCTTCTCACACGCGCTCCACTACATATGATTTTTTAGTGATTTGTGTGTGTGTGTGACAAGAAATACGAAGCAAATTTAGAATTGAATTCTTGTAAGAAGTTTATATCATTACACACAACACAAAAATGCGCTGCAACTGGAAATGTTAAAATTAACTGAATTTGCATTTCATTGATCCTGATCAGCACACCTCTGCAAACAACTTAAGATTATGATCGTACGAGGGCAGCTGGTTAAGTCAGTGACACTTGTAATATTTTATTTTTGGAATTACTGAAGTATTCTTTCAAATGCAAGCAAACATGAAGATAAAGAATCTCCCGCTGACCTTCTTTCATTTACGTTTAATCAAAGACTGTTAATTCAACTGCTTTTGGATCTCATTTCATTTCAAATAAATTTTACACCAATTTGACCAATAGATATAGAGACTGATAATACTGATATTTTCAAAAGCTTTTTAT